ACACAGACACCCCGAAGTCCTCAGATGTTATTCTGTGCAATTCATTCAGGCACTGAAGTTTGAGTTGCATCTCAATGTTTAGTCATTAAACACCAAGCTCCTAATTTGGCAAGTCTTTCTATTAAATGGTAGAGAATTTATAAAAGGGTTTATCAAGGAACAGGCTCCTGCTTTTAGAGACACTGTAACATAGATCATTAAACATGGTTAAAACTCCTGCAAATGAGAAATAGAAGTAAATGGTATCAAAGGAGTGAAATGTAAAAATCCCTGGAAGTTGACCAGAGGACAGGAGTTTTTGGGGAGATTTGCGGGGAGACACGGTGTGGGGATTGGAAGTGGCCTTTGAAGCACTGGCAGCGTTTGGGACTTGGACTAGTCCAGGAGGCAGCACAGATGACCTGGTAAGGCCTCAGGGGTGCAAATTCTGACTAACTGGGCTGGAAAGTCAGGTTGAAATGATAATGTCAAAGGCTTAATACCAGGCAGAGCTGCCCAATGGGGAGATAACGACAGCCTCGCATGCTAAATTATAACACTATAGTGTTGGGACAAGATTAAATCTGAGGGGTTTTGTTTTTTGTATTTTAAATATAGAACTGGGCATAGGAATGGAAATGAAGATCAGACACTCAACCTGGGTTCACTGTACTCATCTAGATGTTTGACATAAAGTCATGATTTAGTTAGAAGGGGAAGCAAGAGAGAGGAGAAACTTAGCATAAGTCAACGGAGAGAACAACTGGCAATGCATAGGCCATACAGGACAGAAAAAAAGTAACACGATTGATTGGCTTTAAGGCCAGAATATCAAGACAGCATTGGAGTCTTTGGAAGTGTGAGGGAAAGAAATGTAAAATCAGGAGGTGATTTCAGGAAGAAGGCAGTGAAGCAGGGTTTAAGTCATAGAGTAATGCAGGCATTCAAGAAAAATGTAGGTCTAAAGTCTGGAACTAATTTAGGGCTATGGATAAAGTTACAGAAGTTATACCCAGTATGGGAATGTTAGTTTATATTGGAGAAGAAATGAACTGTCAAGGGAAGAATTGAAAATGATTTAAAAGAAATTGTCTTGATGCAGGAATGCTCCAACATTTGGACAGCAGGAATGGCTGTACAAAGAAGGCAGCGATGAAAAGTATCCCCATAGCACCATCACCCAGCCAATAGAGGAAAACCCCTCAGAGCAGGGGTGGCCAACAACAGAGAGGTTGTGAAGAGTAAGAACTAGGACTCAGCTCATACGACTGTTAAGATAAGTGGAAGGCAGGAGAAATGACTGGGGCTGGCTAACTTTTCAGATTCATTTATCTATCCTGGAATTCTGTGTGTTGATATGAAGGTTAGGGATCCCAGCCACAGCAGAGCAGAGTGCAACAGATCAGACAGCAGCCTCAGGTCAGGGTCATCCAGCAGCAGTGGTGATGCATGGTATAACTGGACATTGGTATGTGCAATAAAAATAATTTATGGGTCACTGTCCATTGTGTTGTAAAGCTAGTCAATCCTGAACTATGACTCATAACACAATTTCACCGTCTCCCTTTAAAACCAGTATCAAACTGTCCCCTGTATATTAAACAATTACGTTCCAGTGATTCATGTGGCATTTCACTAAATTAACTCAATAATTTAAGAACAAGCACCTGAATGAACACCTCTGCGTGTATTCAGACACTGCGAGGCACCTGGGACTCAGAGAACTGAGCCTGGGATCGAAGAGGACTGTTTTAGTAGGTTAAGTCATCTGCTCAGGGCCAAACAGTGAACAGGAACAGAGAAGGCTATGGAGACAGATTTGGATCCAGGCAGTCTAACTCTGGCATCCAGAGGTATAACTCAGGCAAAGAGCTCACAGGACTTCAAAGTAGCTGCTTGTAGGAAACAAATAAGCACCTCTACTTTTGGGTGAAAAGAATGGAAAGAAACAAGTGGTTAACAAGGCGACTAAGCAGTGCACTTCCTGAGATAAGGAAACAGGATGCAGAGACAAACTAGATAAGGCCAATAAGGGCTACCCTTTCCTTATTATTCATGGATTAAAAAAACTTTGGGAGTCTGAGGCAGGAGGATCTCTAATTCAAACTCAGCCTGGACAACTTAGCCAGACTCAAAATAAAAAATTAAAAGGGCTGGGATGTAACTCAGTGTGAAAGCTTGGGTTCATTCCTCAGGCTTTTTTTTTTTAAAGGAATACCCTCATAAGTAATTACTCATAAGTAATTAATGGCATTCCTTTGAGACCCCATAAAAATGCCTCCTTTGTGCAGGCTGTGTCTGCGCAATAGCCACATCGGTTGTCCTTAACCAGGCTCCCTGTCTATGGAGTAGCCAACTTTGCTGTCCTTTCTGGGGCTACTGTCTGTGGAGAAAATATTATTTTATTTTATTTTATCCTTGAAATTGGCCCACCTATGGTTTCTGTCTTACATGCAGCTAAGAACTCACACTTGCTGGTGACAGAACCTTAAAGGTGAGGTCCTTGCCTGTAAGGCGTTCCCATTTAGTGGGAAGGCTCACAGGCAGTAGAAATCTGGGAGAAGTTACCTTGGAACCGCAGGCAAAGAAGAGCCCACGGAGGGAGAGAGCCCCAACAATGAAGGCAAATAGGCCAGGTCCACCATGGCAAGAGTGGTAAAAGCAGCTCAGCTCATCCATGCCCAGGGCCTCAGGCGCGATGGGCTGCTTGGAGAACACGTACCTCACTCAGTTCCTCACTCGTGATAACAACTGTCTGATCCCTGCTCACACGGAGCACATATTTTACTCTGTGTTTTGGCAACTTGTGCTTATTACTCCTTTCCACAGCCAAAGAATTTCAAGGTTAAAAGAAGTCCTCATTAGAAGGTAATCCTCCACCACCTCTTCTGTGTATGCCCAGTTGGGGAGCAATAAATAGCAACAGCTATACATTAATTTCTTCTGATACGATCCTAATCTTGTTGTATGGAAAATAATCCTTTTAGCAGACCCAAATCACACTTTGTTAAATAATGAGTACTTCTAAAAGCTTCTTTTATCCCTAACAGCTTACTCTTACAGCTTAACTTGTAAACACAGGCCAGCCTCCACTATAGATTACCTGCCAAAAGGATAACCAAAACCACATGTTAGTTGTAGGAAAATATATGTATTTTTAAGTTACTATGAACCTTTCAAAAACTCCAAGCTGAAGATAATCTCAAGAATACATTTTTTACAGCATTCATTTCCGCACACAGAATATTTTGTACTATAAAACTGCCCCAGTTAGAATAGTGGGTATTGGGATCAGCAAGAAAAATCCTGCTATTTGGGGGGACAGGAGGAAACGAGCTTGTTGACACCTTCAATCACAATAACTGAGGCGGAATTTCTCCTGCCTCGAAGGACATAGAGAAAAAGCCCACACTCCTCAAACATGATCAACAACACAAACTCAAAGTATGAGAAAATCTCAACCCGCGCGACACTCAAATAAGGACCTGGTATAGCTCCTCAGGCAGAGACACAAAAGTAAAGCAACATACAGTTGCTGTTTGCCTCCGATTCCCTTGTAGAATACAACAAGAACAGCTAAAATCCAAACCAAAACCATTCACAACTCAGGATTCTTTCCGACAGAGACACAGGAGAATGGAACAAACTCGACTGAGACTGAGGTGAAGATAAACAACAGAAGGGACGATGTCACCCTGTCCAGCCCAGCTTTCCTGTAACACGAGGGTCATTCAAACCAGAACAGGCTCTGGGGAACTGTGGTTTGAGTTTTGGTTTCACTACCCTTCCTACAGGGGTGGAATTATGCAGAGGAGCAGGGAGAAAAGGAAAGAATACCAGGACATCCAAGCTATATGTCGGGAGCTTTCTTGAGCATCTTTATCCATTTCTGGGGGTCTGTAACAAGTTACCACACATTGCATAGCTTAAAACCTCAGACACTTACTCTCCCACAGTTCAGGAAGCCGGGAGTCCGAAATTTAGGTGTCCCAGGACCATGCTCCTTCTGAAGGCTATAAACCAAGAACCTCCCCCGCTACTCCCCAGCCTCCTCTGCAAGTGGCTCTGCTTAGCTGCCCTCAGCATTCCTTGCTTGTAGCAGCATATTCCAATCTTCCCCTCCATTTCTATCGCCTTTGTGCATTTCTCTTCTTATAAGGATATCAGCCATTAAATTAGAGCCCAGCCTAATCTAGGGTGGATTCGCCCAAACTCATTAATTTACAAAACCCTATTTCCAAGTGAGGTCCCATTCCAAGGATCTGGGTGGACATGAATTTGGAGCCACTATTCAACCCACTGCTTGTACCTCTTTTCATTCTCAGGGTAAATGGTGATCTAGATTCCACTGGGCCCATTCTACATATGAGAACACAGTCAAGAAAGTAATGTGTCCTTAGCTGCATAGCTAGACTTGAACTCATGCTGTGGCCCTACCATTCCATGAAGCTGAGATTCAGGTGGGATTCAAGTGAGTAGTAAGAAAAAGCCCTCAGGAGCACAAGTTTGGATGACCAATCCCTTGGTGTTCCCTTGGGATCCCAGGGGTCAGAGTCAGGAGGTCTGCACACTCAGAGCGTCGTGTTTTCTCGTCCTTCCTGTGCACTACCCCCAAGTCTCTCCACCTCCCAGTTTTCCTTCCAAAGAAGCAGGACTCTCCCTTCTCCCTTGTTCTACATCCTCTTTTTACTCCATGCTTGAACAAGTGACTACAAACGGAGTGGCTGCCTCAGCCACAAAAAGGGGGCCCTGTGCATGGAAGTGAGCCCCCTCTGGAACCTGCCTCTCCAGCCACACCTTCAGGCAGGTGGTCTCTTGGGAGCTGCGGTGCCCTGCACCTGACTGTGGTCCCACGGCCACAGGGACTGGCTGAGGAGTGGGTGGACACCCCTATGGCCTTTGAGGGTTTGGTGTCGGTGGCATCCACATCTCACCCCACCAGAGTTCCTGCCCCCGCGTAGAATACGCATCCCACTATTCCCTTCGACCTCCATAGAGTTCCGCCCCCCGGCTCAGCCCACCTTTCCTGTCTTTCCTCTGGGCGCTGCTCCTGTTTCTCCACAAGCTTGTGTTTAGGGAAAGAGTCATCTCATGGCAAGGGAAGGCCCAGGTGTTTTCACAACAGGGCTGAAAAAAAGTGAAACTGATGTCCCAGCCTGCCTCAGGCATATAGGTGCCTACAAAAAAAATCTGCTAGAGGGGCGGGTACCAAAGCGTGAACGGAGACCTTTCTGGGTGGCGGGTGTACAGGTTATTTTGCAGTTGCTATTTATTTATGTACAGTTTTTTGTTTGCCATGTAACAAATTATTTTTTAAATATGTAGAAATAATTTTCAAAAAGCGGCAATTGAATATTTAATTTAACAAGAAAACATTTTAAGAGCGTAGCAAAGGTCCATGTGTTTCTAATTTATTTAATTTTACTTACTTAACAAAATACACATGAGCCCTTTGCTAAATTCCTAAATTAGCCACACACATAAGCCCTTTGCTTTGCTTTGTTCCCTTTATAACTGAAGATGCCCGAGAGGCATAGCTTTTGTGTGAGCTCGCATGTGTATTGCAACTCCCAACATAGTGTTGCTACTCGGTAATGGAAAATTTAGGAATTTAGGTCCTAAAAGATTGCATTATAATGAACTTGTCAGGGTTTACTAGGCCCCTCCATTATACAGAAGGGAAGATTAAGGCACAGAAGGATCACAGAGCTTAACCAAGCTCCCTCTATTAGCACGGGGCAGAGTGAGAAAGGCCATTTCTGTTCTTTGCAAGATATTTTCTTCCCGATGCGGTGACCCATGAATGGACCGCTGCACAACGCTGTGCAGTGTACGGAAAGCGAAGCAGTTGATGAGATGAAGCTGCTTGTCACGTATCTGGTACTGAATCACTGTCAACTATTTCAGGTTTGAAAAACCAGCTCAGTTTTCCCCACTCTTCTTGGCCTTAGAGGGCAAGAAAGGACAAGTTGGAGGCAAAAATGCCCTTGTTTTTTTCGGGAAATGAGCAAGGAGCAAAACTATGGGAGGGGTGACAACTGCAAAGACGTAGCATTTTATCTAGAACCAGCCTTAGTGACCCTGCCGAAGTCCAGAGTGAAGTTAGACGTGAGTTCATCTGGACCGTGACGAAACACAGTGAAGGCTCCTTCCTTGACAACAGGGACAGGGGATTCACAGGAGAGGGAGGATCAGGAGCAGCTGGGCACCGAGGAGAGGAAGCGGGAAGGGAGAGCACACACAGGGCCAGACTGCACTTGGACCTCCGCTGGGTCAGAATCTACTCAGGGTGTGGAGGTCAGACTTGGCTCTTATTCTTACCAGGTCTCTCCTGAGAAAGGCCTGGCCTCAGGGAGAGGGAACGAAGGGGCACATCGAGGTCTGGTCTGAGAAACTGAGATTCTGGTTTGTTTTTAGAAGGACAGAAGTCCTTCTTTGGCTCATTCACTGAAAATAACTTTTCAAAATAGAAGGAGGTTTATTACTGGGTTGGTATGAGGCACAAATGAAGGCTTTTTTTTTTTTTTTTTTTTTA